GAAAACATAAATTTATTTCTCAAGCGCATCATCTCTCTGTGTTCTCCTGTGACCGAACTCACACACTCATGGTAGGATCACATCGTGTTCTAAACCAATAAGAGACAGAGCTCGGGCGGGTCTTTGCCTCTGATTGGCTGTGGTCCTGTTCACCGCGCTAAGTTGTGTGTGTTTAAAAATTGCCGAGCCCCGGTCCTTTGGCGACAGCATCAGACTCGGAACCAGAGGAGGAGACAACCGTGTCTGGGATAGAGCCCGGCTCCAAGACCCAAATTAAAAAGGCCAAAATATATTCCTTCAGACAGGACTGGCTGAAACAATTTCCCTGACTGAGGTACAACAAAGGACGTAACGCAATGCACTGCGTGTACTGTCAGGTGTGTGGTCAGAATATGGCCGGAAATAGTGCATTCGTGAGCGGGTCAACAACGTTTCGTATCGAAACTTTAAAAAAACATAACATGTCTAAGAAACACACGATATGCCCTGACAAATGTGTAGAAAAAGTGTCCCCTCTCCCAGCTGCATTTCAGCGGCAGGTAGTAGTAATCAGGTCCTCTTTTATTTGGAAATGTTTTATTTTGCTTAGTGTTTTAGTTTGAAATGTTCAATTTCAGCTCAGTGAAGCACTTTAAACACTTTATTTTTCTTTTTATATATAATTGTGCTTCAAATAAAGACAAGCATTTCTCTACACCTTATTCTTGTTTATAAATTATTCACATTATATAAAAGTTATGGAGAGCGATTAAAAAGGTGACCTTATGGCGTTAAAGGCGACGCAATGAAAAATTTGGGTGCACCTAAATTTTGTGCTGGTGCACCAAAAAAAAAAAAAAAAAAAAGTTAGGCGCACCAGTGCAACCAATGCAAAAAGTTAGTCTGGAGCCCTGTTTATATTACACAAAACTCTCTTTGTATCAAAAATGTTCTGTAGTTTAACAACAGGCTTTGGAGCAGCTCCAGTGCTTTGGAGTGTGCAACATAACTAATTTCCTTGAATCGTTTGTCATTCTCCCCCTATCCTGTCGCTTTCTGCCCCCTCCTCACTCTCTCACCTCTCTCTCTGTCACTTTCTCAGCTCGAGGAGTCTCTTACCTGTTTGACATTCAGGTGAAAACATTTAATTCTGTATATGATGGAGAGGATGTAATTGCACAAGCCAGGACAGGAACAGGAAAGACCTTCTCCTTTGCCATCCCTTTGGTGGAAAAGCTCCAGAAAGATTCAGTGCAGTTGACCAGAGGCCGGGCTCCCAGGGTAAACACACTTTCACACCAGTTACTGAAAACCCACATCAGTCAGAGTCCCAGAATTTAGTCTAAGTATGTTTGTGTGTGACTGAGTCTCTTTTCTGTCTGTGTGTAGGTCCTGGTGTTAACTCCAACCAGAGAGTTGGCTATCCAGGTCGCCAAGGACTTCAAAGACATTATCAAGAGACTGTCGATCACCTGTTTCTATGGAGGCAGCTCATACAACCCACAGAGTAAGTAATGCAAAAACACACATCCCCATCATCATTAAGAGTGTAATGGCTTCTTTATATTTAATTATTATAAAGTACTTTTCAGGTTAACTATTTAGCACTTTGTTTTTTGATGTGGTCTCTGCCTGCTGTTTTAACTACATACCATATACATTAAAATTATTGATAACTGTCAACTCCTCTCCTCCTGTCTAGTCGATGCTATCCGTAATGGTATCGATATTTTGGTTGGAACCCCTGGTCGCATCAAGGACCACCTCCAGAACAATAAACTCGACCTCTCTAAACTGCAACACGTTGTTCTGGATGAGGTAGACCAAATGTTGGACATGGGCTTTGCAGAACAGGTCGAAGAGATTTTGTCTACATCATATGAGAAAGGTAAAGGAAATCTGTGTGTGTTCTTGTTTTTTAAGTGTATAGGGTATGGTATTCCCGGTGTAAATGTTACAGTAGATTGTAAAATGATGTTTTGTGTTCGTGCTCCTCTCCAGACTCCGAGTCCAACCCACAGACTCTTCTGTTTTCGGCCACTTGCCCCCCCTGGGTCTACGAGGTCGCCAAGAAATACATGAGACCAGAGTGCAAACATGTTGACCTGATTGGCAAGAAAACACAGAAAGCTGCAACCACTGTGGAGGTAAGTGTGTGAGAGAGAATCAGTCAGCGGAGGTGAAGGGTTTCTGATGGGTGCAATTTAACAAGCGTTACAGCAGTAGTCTTAGTTCTTACATTTCTCAAAGTTGCCTGTAAGCAGGGACAGTTAAAGTAACTGTAAAATACACTCTCATATATGTCCATCAGGAAAGCCCAGCAAATTCATATGGAGTAAGAAATGCTGTTGGAATTGTAATAAAGTACAAGTTAAAGTATGCCTGCTGGATTAAATCTCTTCTCAATCCCTGGTTTCTCCCTCTCTCTCTCTCTCTCTCTCTCTCTGTGTATCCTTTTGTCTCTCTGTCTGTCTTTCCTATGTAGCATCTGGCCATAGCATGCCACTGGTCACAGCGTGCAGCTGTGCTAGCCGATGTGATCCAGGTCTACAGCGGCAGACACGGCAGAACCATCGTGTTCTGTGAGACAAAGAAAGAGGCCAACGAACTGTCCATGAATGCAGCCATCAAACAGGTACACATACATGAGCACACTTAGTAAAAGAAATTCAACTGACTTCATAAGAATCATTTTGAGAGTGTGTAACATTTGGGCGGCTCTATGAAAGGAGGAAATGGAATATAATATGCATAACTGTGTTTTCATTAGTGGATAATCACCTGAAAAAATCCTTTGTACTTGGAAGGGCAAGGTGAAGGGAACAATAATCTTAGAAATGGACAGAAACAGCATTGAAGAAGCATGCAAAGTATGTTGTGTTCATTTCTCATTTTATTTTGTTTATATGTTTTCAGAGTACCCAGTCCCTTCATGGTGATATTCCTCAGAAACAGAGAGAGACGACGCTAAAGGGCTTCAGGGGTGGTTCTTTTGAGGTTCTGGTTGCCACCAACGTTGCAGCCCGTGGATTAGACATCCCCGAAGTTGACCTTGTGGTCCAGTGTTCTCCCCCCAAGGTGTGATTTGTTGCCAGTAATAGGGTATATTTTTTCATTTATTCAACGTGCCATTTAATTCCTATGTGGATTTTATGTTGTGTGAATGGAATCTGCACCTTAAAATCACAAATTTATAAATCTAAAATATGCTTAAAATTTAGCATTTGCTTAAGATTGAGTTGAATTGAAATTATAAACAGTTGCAGTACACTTAGTTGCAGTAGTTGATCGATGAAAAATTAAGAATGAACTCTTAGCAGATTAATTTTAACTGCACAATTTCTTATTTACAGTGTTAATACATTTTGAGTCATGAAAGCTGAAATGGGAATCTGAAAATATTTCTGTTTCTGTGCTTCGTGTCAGGATGTGGAGTCATACATCCATCGTTCGGGGCGTACGGGCCGAGCAGGCAGGACTGGAGTCTGCATCTGTTTCTACCAGAGGAAAGAAGAGGACCAGCTGCGCTACGTAGAAAACAAAGCAGTAAGTGTCCTTTTTAAAAACGGTCAGAGTAGAAGAAGACTGGGGGGCAAAGACAAGTGACAAATTCTGTTGTTTGAGCTGTGCTGTGCAAATGCTGAAAGTGCACTAAATGCATCTTATTTGTATTGTTCCAGGGCATCACATTCAGACGAGTTGGCGTTCCCACTGCCAATGATATCATCAAGTCATCGAGCAAGGATGCCGTCAGGTAGATAATTCTGGACAGTGAGAGCAAAGTTGAACCATATATATATGTTCTGTTTTGGAAGTATGCAATGACTGTAATTGATTTACTGTTTGATACCTTGGACTCTGTCAGCCACATCATGTGGTTAATAATGCAGACTACTATCATTACTTGGGCGACCTGGTGGCTCAGTGGTTACATAGACTTTAAACAGCAGCCCCACGAAGCCTCTGCCTGCTAAAATGTCCTTAACCACAATACGACTCAGATGTCAGATTGTTCTGATTTTATTTCTTTATTGTGTCCAGGTTCCTGGACTCTGTTCCAGTCACAGCTATCGGATACTTCAGAGAGTCAGCTGAGAAGCTAATTGAGGAAAAAGGAGCCGTTGAAGCACTAGCTGCTGCCTTGGCCCATATTTCTGGAGCCACAAGTCTAGAGCAGAGGTCACTGCTCAACTCTGATGCTGTAAGTCTGGTCTTGGTTTGGTTTTATTCTCATCATAAACAACCTACACACAACACACTTGTACCCACAGATATATTCACTTAAAAAAGAAGAAGAAAACCAAAACAAACGAAATGTTGTATACACACAAATACTGACGGTATAGTTAAAGATCTGTACACACTACCGTGCAGCTGCTGCAGGGGTTGGACAACAACTGCAACATGATTCAAACTGCAACAGCCCTTAGAAACACACCTCACTGTTACTGTTGTGCTTGTCCCCCATTTAGATTCTGTCATGAATTTGTCATGCTTTTAGCTGCTGTACAACCAGAATTCCCCCTGACTTCCTGTTTGTTCTGTTTCTGTAGGGTTACACCACTGTGCAGTTGGTGTGTTCTCAGGAAATGCATAATCTGGGTTACGCCTGGAGAAGCATCAAAGAACAGCTTGGAGAAGAGTTTGAGAACCACGTTCACAGAATGACCTTCCTTAAAGGCAAAATGGTATGTAAACACACAGACGCTGCTTCCATTGAAATATACGTTAAAGAAACGATCTTTGTTAGATTTTCTGTTTTTAGTTTCAGATTACATTGTACTTTAGTATGGGATCGACTGTGGAACTTTTTAGGTTCAGTTTGTCAGATTCCACTTGGCTTAGCTTAAGGTTATCGATAGGGTTTTGAGTAATCTCTGTACTAAGAGTATATTTTGTTTTGGTGTGTATAGTTTGAAAGTTTAGCATGGATGTAGGCTACAAATATTTGCTTCTAGATGATGACCAGTGAGCCCTCCAGTTAGAAAAGGGGCCCCCACAGTCTAAATTAAAGTAAAAGACAAATGAAAAAGTAAATGGGAATCCAAAATGCAATTTGATTGTGTGTGTATAATTTATTTGAAAAAACCCAGTTTTGTTTTGGTTATATGTGAATTCACCTACTGCATTGTACACAACTAATTATCCACTGAGAGTAAACAGCAAAACATCTGTTAGCAAAAAGTAAATGTGTGACACCTTCCTGTAGGTGTGACCATGCCTCTTGTGGCTCTTGTTCTGATAGCACAGCAGGTATAAAGACCGGCTCCTCTCAAAAAAACTGAGACAGAAACACTCACCAGCTCACCCTTATTGTGTTCATTACAGGGAGTTTGTTTTGATGTCCCAGCTGACAAAGTCAAGGAGATTCAGGTGAGAACAACAGCATAAACATCCATCTGTTCATGATGTGTGGTGGATTAAATGAGTGGAAATGAATAACCCAAAATCCAATATAAATATTTTGACTTTTTCTCGTTAAAGTTGACAGACTGGTAGTCCTGCTTAACATCCTTTTCTCCCGACTTGATCCTCTCAACAGGATCACTGGACGGATGGTCGCCGTTGGCAACTGACTGTAGCCACAGAACTCCCGGAGCTGGAAGAGAAGCAGTTCAATAACCGTGGTGACCGAGGTTTTGGCGGCGGTAACCGTGGTGGAGGAGGGTTCAGAGGTGGAAGGGGGCGGAGTTTCGGAGGAGGTGGGGGGCGTGGCTTCAGGAGTGGAGGCGGTGGCGGCGGGGGTGGCTATGGCAACAACAGAGGAGGACACAAACGCAACTTCAGCCAAGCTTTTGATTATTGAAGTGGCAACCTGTGGACTGATAAAACTGACTGTCACTGTCATCTGGGCTGGCAGTGATTTTTATTGGCTGTTAGTGAGTGATGGATGTATGGCTGGTGGAAATCTCAAACATGCTGAACTGAAAGCATTTAAATATTCTTACGTTTTATATTCAGTTATGACCAATGTCCCCCTCTCTGAAAATAAAGTCAACATCACATATCTGAGAAATTAGATCTATCCCCAAGTATCCATTTCCTGTGGGTTTAAGAACAGATCTTGTGTATACAGTACATTAACTCAGACATACTGGCAGCCATTTTGTAATGCCTGACATGTACGTCTTTTAGGTGACGCCTTACTTAAAGCTCATGAAATGATATTCTTTACAGCTGAACTACATCTTTCAGTTGCTATGTCTCGAATGCCATAGGATAAAAAAAAACCTTGACTAATGAACCTATAGTTAAAGTTAAGCATAATGTGATGTCCGCACATCCACTGAGGTGAAGTGTTACTCTTTTTATACTGGGTGTTTGGGGATCGGTGACAGCAATCAGGCCTGAGTAGTCGACAATAGAAGGGGCACTATTCTGACCTCACAACTTGTAAACATGCTACTTGTGGTATTACTACACTATATAACTCTGCGATTGTGTGGTACCATGAAGGTGCACTGTACTGCAGACACTATGTCATGTGGGAGGCACTGTGTTTCTGCTCTGCACCCACAGAGAGCAGTGATGAAATGGGTGTTAACCTTTACAGTTGTGCGCAGTGTTGGATTGCCGCCCTCAACTGAAACCGCTCTCCCCAAATATATATTGGATGATTGCTTTGCAATTGCCTCTATTTAATAACTGTGTCTACTGCTTCCATTCATTTGAATGAAAAGACTTGTCCATTAAAAAAAAGTCAACTCAGGTTGTGTTTTGTCTTTTTAAAGGGGTGTGAAATAAGCATACACAATGTTTTAAAGTATATATTTCAATGTTAACTGCTTTTGGGAAGCTGGCACTTTTAACTTCAGCAAGCCTTAAAAAAGATCATAAATGCATAAATGGATCACTAACAGTCTAGTTGATGTAATCTACAACAGTTTATATTGCAAATTTGGGACTGCCTGGAGAGTACAGCCGACTGAGGAGGAATTACTGCACAGAAAACAAATTATGATAAGGTGTCACACTACGCTAGCCACCCAATTAAGTCCTCTTCCTTTATCTTGATCACTAACTCCCCTTGAGCACAGGGATCAAACCTCACTCACTCCTGTGTGACTTCGCACATACGAACCAGGGAAAGAACTGTAGAGTTAGCCCTACATATCCTCGCAATATAAAACCATAACAAATACATGCCGTAGTTACAGTTAAAGTTTAATTATTAAAAGTGAGTAAATAAGAACTGTATTATATATATATATATATATATATATTTTTTTTTAAATGAACTAAACTTTCAACAGTTATAAAACCAACATTAGGAAAATCTTTATTTTTATTCATCAAATATTTTTTATGTACATAGAGTACGTTAGTGGCATAAAAAGACAAATGTGAGCTGCAGCTTATGAGTCAGGCCTTGTAAGCTTAATTTAGATATGTTTAAACAAACAGGAAAAGGGCTCTATTTCTGACATTTATTTTAATAAAAGTTTTTCAAGCAGTTCAAGAAAATTATATTTCTTTGTAAAGTGCATTGTTACAATTGGTATGCATAATTGGTAAACATAATTACACTGATACCATCTTAACACAGTAATAAAAAGGAAACATTGTAAATTACATCAGAAACTAAAATATTTGAACAATAAAATGGTAAATGTATTCCTTACTTTATTTATTGGGCAAATTTTGCATTTAAAAATCTTTAAAGGTACTGGGAGCAACACACAGCACAAGTATTTGTGTTTAATATGAATTTACAAGGAGCTCAGATATACATTTTGTAAACAAATTTAAGTGATTTGCTTCCATCTACATCAAGGTCCATAAAACATACACACCAGCAAAAATAAAAGAACAATCAACAACTAAACTGGTTTAGACCAGATGCATACAGCCATACATCAAATAGAATAAATACAAATACATTCAAATAGAGCACTCATTAAAAACACTCCTACCTGATATCCCATTGGGTAAAAAACCTGAGCTCACATCTTAATAATTCCTCATTTTATACTACTAAACAAAGCATATTAGATCTGTTAAAATTGATTTCCCTTGTGCCATTTTGCCTGCCCAGCTAGACCATTCTCAGATCTTGCCAGCTGAGAGGCAAAACTGCAGCTGCAGAATAGTTGAAGACAAAATTATTTCCTGGGACGTCCCTGTGCTGTGTGATCATTAAAATGTACCGTATTTATGGATTGTGAAAGCTGAAAAAATATACATTTTAATACCAGCCCTTAGGTGGTAAGAGACTATTGTGATTATTAGGTTTCACTGTTACAGTTGGTTGCTTCTGACAGTTTCTACAGGTCTTCATTGGTAATGAAAAGTCCGTTGGTATTGGGATTCTCCAGAGTCAAGTCTGCAGCCTCCTCCTAGTTGACGGGAAGACACACAAACAAAAAGATTTCTCAATGAGCAAATTATCGGACTTATAACTGAGAGTTTGATGTCACATATATTTCTTCTGCAGCATGAGTATTTTTACACTTTTTACACTATTTTCATACTTTTACTTGATTAAAATTTTTAATGCAGCACTTTTATTCCTAATGGAGTATTTTTACATTGTTGTATTGGATCTGAGTGCTTCTTTCACCACTGATTAACATAACATAAATACATTTTGCCTGCTCTGATGGAGAACTCCATTTAGTCAGAGGTGGACTGATGAGCCCAGACTGATCATTGGAACTTCAACAGTGAACAGCTCATAACCAAATCCACATTCACATCACCCAGATTGAGCCACTAGCCTAACTATAAAACAGCTGTTTTCTCCCAGAAGTCTAGAAAAGCCACAACTATCATTCTATTAAAAAATGTCACCCTTTTCTTTGTCTTTATCATTTTACCGTGGCCATTATGACATTAATATAATAATAATAGTACTGTATATAGTAGACTTGCATCACCATTGTGCAATATATTAAGTTAAATTAAGAGATTATTATTGTTTATATTTATGGTCCTAGTTTCACTGGTTGATTTTTAATTTATGGCCAGAAATGTTTTTCTTGATTTATTTCTTGTTTAATTTAGTGAGTGTCTTTTTTCTGCTGTGACAATGCAATTTCTCATTTGGATTAATTAAGTGATGTATCAATCATCAATATTTTTTAAATTATTTTCAGTGTCATTCACTATTGTCAGAGCTCCATTGCATATTCTCATTTCCCATTAAATCGATCTATGCCATCGACAGTATATATCATCTTATCCCTAAATTTTCATTGAGTTTCTTAAAATGTGTGAAACAGCGCCCTCTGGATTTCAACATATGATAACATCAATCTGCTTGTGTGGTGATAGATGGTACTGCACTGTTACAGAGCCGCTCGTTTATACCGTAAGAAACTCAGGGGAAGTTGACGTCCCTTGATTAGTAAACTTCACACTACCGGGAGACTGTGCCAGGACTCCGGTAAAACCTTTGAAGGGAAGCCACGGTGGCCTTGTTCTCTCTAAATTAAACCCTAGAAACTTAGCAAAGTCGCACAGTGTGAAAAAAAGTGACGGGTGGTTGTCTGAACACTTGGCCAACATGGAGGACAGCGGTTTTCTCCTCGCCTGCCGACAGGTGAGTATCTCCTCTCCTGCTCGCTCTGTGGCTCCCCTGATGGCAAATGACCCTTGTGGCTCTCTGTATGAACGTAACTTGACTGTTGTATATGTAGTTGTTTATGTGGTCATAATGCATGTAATGGGTTTGCCTGAATTTAATTCTCTGTGTGATCTCACAGTCAGGGTTAGTGGAGTTTGTCCACAGACTGCTGGGCACAGGGACAAATGAATAACCCTACAATTAAACATTATCTTTTGAAACGTTGTTTAGATAATTCACCTGTTTGACTGCCTTGCTAAGGATTAGGCCTACTGCATGTATAAGGAGCCAGCTGGTAGGGGTCCTGGGTAAGGTCTCCTGCTGCTCATTTAATATTAGAGGTAAAACATTGCCATCATTTACAAATATAGGAATTTATGAAAAATCAACACTGTATCATTCCTCCGGTGCTAGTCAAGACTGTACTTTGTTTGCATCTCAGCCTATAGAGGTGTTTATATTAAATGGATAAAAAAAACCTAAAAAACCCTACTAATGTATGGCCTGAATAATAATTGACTCTATTAGCTTCTCTTTGTTTTAGTATTTGATAGTGAAGTTTAGATTTTTGTGTATAGTTATGGTTTATTCTTGGCATTCTGGTATTGTCTTGTACCTGATAACGATTCCAGTTAAAAAAAAAAACCTGCAGTGTTTTTTACTTACTTCTTCTTTCTCTTTGTAGTCTTTTTCTGTGCTGCGATAGGACACCACATGGATCAGAGTGTAGATCCTGTGAACACCAAGATGAAACGTGAGTACAAAATATTGAAACATTGGGAAATAGAAGTATAATAGTCCCAAGAACAGCAGGAGATGTCATTATAATTTTCCATAAAGGCGGGAATTGATTAATGCAAATGTCCCTGCTCATGGTGCGGGGAAATATTCAGTACGAGTTTAGAAACACTGGAATCATTTCTTTGCCACTGAATCCAACCTCCAGTATCTGAAAGCTAGGATGTTTTCCTGCTTAGTTTTGAAGGTCATTCAGTGAGCTAGCTGCAGGGTTGTTAAATGCACGTCTCATTTTACAGCTGCAAAAAAGTAATACCTGAATGTTAAGTGATGAGAATTCAGTGGGTTTCAAGTTTGTTTGTGTGTGTGTGTGTGTGTGTGTGTGTGTGTGTGTGTGTGTGTACCTGTGATACAACATGGCCAGGAACTGGACGAGAAGAAGAATAGCAAAAGAAAACAGGAACATCAAACTGAGAGGCTCGACCTGTCAACACAAAATGATGGTGATTACTTTTAGCTAGAGTTACAGTCGAGGCGTACCAACGGACATTCAAATATACGTCACAGTCCTTCTTTAACTATCTCTGTCACTGCATCTCTGCATGATGTATCTAGGACTGTCTGTCTGTCTGTGTGTGTGTGTGTGACCTTGAGAGTTTCTCCAGATTCAGTTCCATTTGGATAGTATTTAGGGATCTTGATGCTGATGACGTCACTTCCAATGGCCTGCAGGAAGAAAGTAGCGACCACCCAGAGAATGTTGATGATGAAATACAGGAAGACAGCCTGTGGGGAGGAAGGAGAATACCTTTTCTTAAGGCTTCATTCTAAATATTAACAATATCTCAATTTTAGACCCCCCAGTGTTAGTGGTTAAAAGTATTTTAACTGAGATGAATGTCCCAGAAGGATCGAAAATGTCTTTGCTCATTGTCATTCCCATTCCAAACAACCCAATCAGTTGATATTTTCTGAAAAATATAGTAACTAACAAAGCTAGTTTATCACAGATATGTACATGTCAGCATATATGTTGGCTAGTAAGTAGCAAGAAATTGCCCTAGACTAATGGCAAGGATATGTTTGATGTAATTTAGACACAGTGTCATCATTACATACTGTAGTTAGTCCACCAGAGAGCACCAACCCTATAATGTTTAAAATGTAAAATGTCTTGTGTTTATGAAATACGTTTTAACAAAAAGATACTTTTGCCCCCAAAAGCAGAACAATTAAATTATTAAAACTTCAATTTAGTTGATGTCCCCACAGTGCTGCATGACAGGGGAGAAAACCCTAACCCTAACCACCCGAATACCTTCAAATTTGAAATTATTTTCCAGTCCAGAAAGAGCAAGTGACCCTAGATAATGATTGCAGCTCAGTAGTAATTAATAATGGGCATTAAATATTTTTGGGACCTGTTTTTTCTTTGGGGCCCTCTGCAGTCTACTCTGTGGTGAGACTGAATTGTATGTATGTATGTTCAGCTGTTCCAATAGTGCTAACCCTATAAACTTCTATTTTGTTTTAAGTTTTAAGAATTTCTTGAATTTAAATAAAGTATCTATCTTTCTTAAAAATAGATTTGAAAGCAACATGCCTGCAAAGCTGCCCTATAAAGAGAGGTGAACAGCTTTTTGGCTCTTTTCCTTCACTTATGCACTTTAGGAACACCCTGTTTAAGTCCACCGATCAAAACAGCAATAAACATCGAGCAATTTCCTGTTTAACTTGTCTTCGGCCTCTCGCTTTCTGCAGTAGACCCTTCAGTTGGCTTATATTAGACTAATATTTTGATGAATTATTAGAAAGTAAACTGTCCTAAATACATTGTTAGTATTTCAAGGTCCAAACAAAGGTGCACACTTCATGCCACAAACAGCAGACACAGTAAATGCAGATAGCTGACCTTGTTTCGCAGTGACTTTAGTTCTCTGGTGACCTCCTCCTTATGTGCTGCGCTTTCGACTATAGGACTCAAGTAGCGCTCAAGTAACTTTTCCCAGAAGTCCTGTTCACCCTAAATACAAACAAAGATGCAGGCACACAAATAATTTAAAGCTAAGGATGCCAAAACATTTACATGTACCATGTGGAAGACGGCTTTTTCACCTCACTCTGTCAGACCTGTTATAAAGTATTGTTGTAACAGTACTGTTTTTGATTACTCATTTAAATTACTATTTGTTAATCTGTGCTAGGTGTATACAGTATTTGCTTCTCACAGACGCAGGGGCTGAATCAGCATCTTACCTCATCCAGTTTTTGCACTTGCGGGGCCCTGAGTGTTTTGTCAATGGCTACCTCTACTCTCTTCTGTAATTTCACCATTTGATTGGTCTTCAGGGTATGGCGAGCCTTGTAGATAGAGAAAGTAGGTTACTCTTTGATTCAGTCATTCCTCTTCAAGAGGAGCTTTTAAGTTCTGTTTTTATTTAATAAAAGCATCCAAATGTGATATTATACAATGACACATTTTTATTCATAATGGATATGTTATTACATACATGCAAATACGGCAAAATCAGTGTTCAAGGAAAGATAACTAAAATAGCTGGGCTACTTCTGCCAAACTTATCACAGATTATTAAAAGAAAATAATAAAAAAAGATACATTCTTACTATTTTTCAACAAATTCAATTACTTATGTGCTTTTACTGTTTTTATTATTACCTGCTTTGTCAGTGCATATCGCAATTCCTCCAGCTTACTATCCAACAGGATATCCTCAGGCCCCACATCACTTAGCTCTCTACTAATAGTGTCTGTTAACATCAAGACTAGGTCATCACGCACGTCATCCTCATTTATGTTACGAAGTGCATATCTTAGGGCAGATAAAGCACAAAACAGACAACTGTAATTATGCAATAGCAATTGTAGAGGTTTAACCGATAAAACAGTGTAACTGTGTTTTGAGACCACCTTAGGACAAAACAGATACACAAATACACGTAATGAATAACACATAAAGTTAAATTCTAGGAACATAAAGTTTCCTACAATTTATATATACTTATAAACATTTACATTTCCTTGTATATATAGTGCTTCAAAGTATGTGAACCTCCTGTAAATCCTATAAATTATTTACCGTATTTGTGCTTGTAGATTTCTCTTCAGGTTGGCATAAGTCAGCTTCTTCAAAAACTCTTCTTTTACTGGCTTCACCCAGTCTGCATGCACAAACACACACACACACGCACACACACACACAAACAATATGTCATTATAGCGTGCAATACATACTGGTTCTCCTAAAAAAATGAATTTTAAATTACAGTACATAGTATTCAGGACAAATACACAGTTAAAGTGCTCTTACCTCTGACAGGAAGTTCCTCCTGAAGGTCGCCAGTCATAAAGTTAATTTCATCTTCATCAGAATCTTTATCATCTTCGTCAGATGAATATGAGTTGATGCTCAGTTTTTCAACACTGTCATTACTGCACAGAAGCACACACACATTATTGTGAGTCTTGGGTAGTATGGATTTCACAGTTCTAGTGTGTATGTGCTGTTGTCCTTCTACAAGGTAAGATAACCTAAACTGAAGCCTAATATTTTCAAAATGAGAAACAAACCAAGTGGCCTCAGTAGGGCTGCAACTAACGATTACTTTCGTTATTGATTATTCTGTCGATTATTTTCACATTAATCGATTAGTCTGTAAACTGTGACAATGAAGAAATAAAAGAAGAAAAAATACCTGCTACCGGAAGCAACATCTTTGCCTTTTGCCGACTTCACTTTCGGATCCCCAGTTGGCGATTTCTTATCCGTGTCCTCATTCAAAGTTTCTTTGATTGCGTTGTCTTTGGCTTGAAGCTCCATATTTGCAGCTGCCCCCTCTTGAGTTATATCCTGTGCGGTGATTGGAATGGGAAGGTCTTGCTGTACAGTCTGGCCTGTGATCTGGCGAATCATCAGATTCTCTGTTTCCTGTGTTATCTGTAAAGCAACGGGATAAAATGAATCCATCTGTCCATTTATTCGTGTCTTGTCAGTAACTACTGGTAACAGTACCTGTAACTTCATGTCCCAGCAGCAGAGTTTACAGTTTCTGTCACACAGAATATTTTGGTTCTTCTTCACTTCTCCTTCTCCCCTGTCAGACAGACATAAGCATGATCAGTCAGAAAAAATATATACTGTATTTACATTAAAATCCTGACAGATACAGTGGGGGATAATTGGGAATGCTGAAAACGAATTCCCTATTGCCTCTGCTTATCCGTTGGATAAGTTGGGGCATAGGAAATGGAAACCGTTCAGTCCAACTCTGCTTAAAATTTCAGGTGTATTCAGATATGTTAAGTGAGACACGTCCTGACATCTGGACAACAGCTCTAAGTTACTGTTGCTGGCCCGTCTGGGTTGCCAGGTTGCGGTAACAGATGGACTGAATTGTCTGTAGTGTGTGGATTGTGCGTAGATTACGCATGTTTCCCAGGAGAAACTACTGTTACTGTTTCACCAGAGTGTGTGCATGTTGACCACAGACAAACTACTAAACTACTCCTTCAAATAATGATCAGAGCTTTACTTGTTGGATTCCCTTGTGCCCCAGGACACATTGTTCATGTTAACCAGTGAGTAGATTGTCAGTAGGAGGTATCCACTGGGGATGCAGATGAAATACATCAGACCATAGATAATCATCCCTGAAAGAGAAAAAAACAAACAACATAGAATAAAATAACAGAACAGAAAACTTACAATGTAACACAAAAATCAAAGACATAACATAAACCTGTAAACATGGTGTAACATAAAACTGTGTATTTATAGTAATATTATAGTGTATTAAGTAATGCTTATAATAATATAATATAACCATACCAAACTCCTCCGGATGTAGTATAGCTGTCACCATGTACATGATTGCCATAGAAACCAAAAACAAGCCAGTTGGGGTCAGGAAGGTTTCCTGAATCACCATGTCACCTAAGAGGGGAACATGGTGTGTGAATTTCATTTAGGGTTTTAAAATGCATTTACTGAACTATATTTTAAAGAAAGAGCTTTTACCCACCGATGATAGAAAATAGGGAGGCAGTCATGAGGAATGCGTACAGAATACTCATAATGGCAGCGATGGTAATTTGGGTATTAGACTTGACTACAAAACAAATGATGATGTAGAACACAGGAGGAATGCTTGCGATGATGATGGAAAGTGTTCCAGCGATTTTGAAGACAAATTGGAAAGCACCTGAGAGAGAGAGAGAGAGAGAGAGAGAGAGAGAGAGAGAGAGTAAAAACAGATGCAGGTATGGACTTGGAGGAAATGCCTTTGTGACCCAACACAACACGATAAAGGTAGGAGCAGCATCTTGTTGTCTATTAAGAGCTACCCTTAAAGTTGTTTTCATGTAAACAGGAAATTAGTTTGACCTGACTGATGCAGGGCACAATGGTAGAGGAGAAGAAAATGTTGGCCCGACTGGAAGCATTAGACGACCCCCCAAGAAAGAAAAATAAACTAGACCTGAACCTACCTGCTATCATAAGAGTCACAGAGGCCGGACCAAGGATAGAGGAACCAACAGTGAACATCTGGTAGAAGATGTAAAGCTTTGAAATGGACGAGTTTCTCTTCACTGTTTCGGCACCACTGCGATTTAAGTCACAATCACAGAAAAGTTAACATTAATGCAATGTATATGTCATATTGTCAAACAGCTGACCAAGAACGTGTAGCTTAAACATATGTTTCTGTAACGGTAGAAAAAAAAAAAAAAATTAAATCAAATAGCAGTCAAATTTAATGAATAATAAATAACAATAACCTGTGCAGAAGGTCCAGTGTATTTGCCAGTGTAGATGGTCCCCATCGTCTCCTCTGGTTGTAAAACTCTTTGAACTCCTGTGGTGAGTTGGTGTATGCATCTGATGCAGCGTTGTATTCGACACGCCACCCTTGCTGCAGTAACAAAGTACACAACCAACGATCCTCCCCTAAGAAAACATAACAAGACACAAAAGAAATGTGAGAAATGGACGTGAGTGGTCATAGAAGAAAAGTAAAGAGACAAAACTAGATGAGGTAAAAAGGTTTGGTGCACTTGGTGTCAACCTTGGTCATATTGCACATATTCCGAAGCTCTGGTTGCAGTTGTTGTGTATCTCTTCAATACATGGTCATCCATTAAGGCAGACCCTCTAAACAGACTGAAACATCCTGGACTGCACAGCACAGAGCCAAACACGTGCTCAGCTGTCTTCTGGAGCCAGTGGCCTACTGCATACTCAAACTTCTGGTACCACACCATGGGACCTGGGATGGCAGGCAGGCAGGGTGATGAGAAGAGAATGTCACAGAGACACAGTTAGAAACATTTTTTAAAATGAGGACAAACAATGAGAGACATGAGAGACAATCTTCAGCAGTGACAATACACAAATGCACATTTCTTGAATTATGTCTACTCCATCATGTCGAGGGTTATAGAATCTGGGGTCTGTCAGGACCATTCCATCACACCCAGACAGACATTTAATCTGGTCCACTCCTTCCATTTGACACATTAGCTTCATAAATCACATCATCTGACTTGATGTGATATTAACCATTGAGAGGATGTGCATTTGGGGCTCTTGACCTCTGCAACTGGTTTACAAAGTCCTGCTAGTAGATGCATTGCAACTGTTTTAAATGGATTCAGTGAAAACATAACCCCAGCTAATGCCTCTGTGGTCACAAAGGCTGTAGCCATGAAATAAAAAAATAAAAAAGTCTACTTACCCATACCAGTAGGATGGATTCTACCACATGCTGCACCTACATTGTAATACATCCTCAACCTGTCAATCAAATAAAGTTTTTTTACCTACCACTTTTATTACAATAATAACTGAAAAACAATTGTCCAATTGGCTGAATGACAAACTATGTGACTAGCAATCCTGAGCCATGATAGTATCAGGTCAATTTGTCTGTTACTGACCTGTCTACAAGCAGAATCACAGCTTTAGGTTGGAAGTCCGTATCTCCGTCCAGAGCCAGGATGTAAGTGTTGTCATCTGAGATTAATCTTCTCTTGTCGTCACTGTTATACTGAGGCAACAGGTAAATCTCTCCATCAAAAGAGACCATACTGTCTCTGCATGGGTTGTTCTGACGCTGGACAAAACAGGATAGATATTTGACATATTTAGATATTTTATACTCATACTGTCAAAATACTATAAATATGTGCACATTTTACACACAAGCTAGAAACGTCTTACTGCAATCTTCTGTGGGTTCTTGACAATGTAGCCCTTCCAGCCGAGTAGATAATACAGATACATAATCTGAAAATCATAAACAGTAATGTCAAAATCCAACAGCAGCTCTTAAATAATTTTTTAATACAAAGTGTAAAGATTTTATCTGATCATCTGAAATGTGAGGATTGGCTTCTTTTCTCTGTCATATGTTATAGTACATAGACTTTGGGTTGTGAACAAAACAAGAACTTACTAGTGTTTGAAGACACTACCTTGGACTAAATTTTACATTTCATAGGCTAAGCGTTTAAACAAGAAATGAATACAGGCTTATTAGTAATGAAAATAATGAGTGATGAAGAGCACCTTGTCCCAGTCAAAAGAGACACCTGAGTCACTGATTTTACAGTTTGACAGCCCTAGTGTGTATGACGAGTGGGTGATGGGTCCATTCTGATCGGTCAATGTCATGCATCATACTCCTAGTTTTAAATAGAAGTTGGTGGTGCAAGTCTCTTACTGCTGGCCAGTGAATGGGCTCTTGTACCATGACACCTTAAGGATTCACACTGACACACAGGAATATGTAGACACACAAAACATCACTACGTACCTGGGACCATCTTTTCTTGTTCCGGATCAGATTTTTGTCTTTTAAGTGAAAATAGAGCATGTTGCCTTCTGGCAAAACAAACATCAGCCTGCCACCGTAGGGGGTATCAATGATTGACACATCATCTGGTTCTTTGTTGGTAAACACCCTGAGTGAATTGATGGATGGATGAATAGTTAGTTGGTTGGTTGGCTGGTAGAGAGAGAGAGAGAGAAAGAGAGAGAGAGAGAGAGAGAGAGAGAGAGAGAGAGAGAGAGAGAGACTCACCTATAGACCTCTATCACAACCTTGACCAAGTCATCTACGTAAGAATTAACCAGCCTCTTTTCTGTGCCCTTTTCAGTCATGAAGGCATCGTCCACAAAAATGTGACATTCAAAGTCAAAACAGTCCTTATGGTCCTGGTGTGGATCACCACGATAACGGTCCAACCTGAAATGACAATAAACTATTGTAACAATACTGCAAACGTCTATTCTCAAGTATTTTCTTTTCTTCTAAAAATCGTCAAAGCATGATAGGAAGTGAATAGGAGGACACAGTTTCAAATGTTATACAGCACAAATGTTTAGCATTTTTAAGCCCTTGAATATGTTAAGTCATAAGCAAAAAACATGGATACATTTTATTCATGTTTAACATTTTAAAGAGCAACATAGAAAAAAAAAGCTGAAAAGCAGTTTTTCACTGCCTCTGTTTTAAAATTTCATGAAGAGCAATGTCACAATGTACTGGCACACCCTAGAGTATACTTCTGCATCACTACAGCAATGGTGAGAAATTAAACCTGTGAAGGTAACAATATTTTCACTTAAATTAAGTCAAATTTGTTCTAATGAAAGAGTTGTGTGGTGAATTTGATACTGGTGTCTGCAGTGACTATCTCTAACCTGAACATGGAGGTGAGAATCTTCAGCATTTCATCATAGGTCTCATGCCACATGGTGGCACAGAGGTAGATCACACACTTCTGCATGTCATCGGCGCTGTAGAGGAGAGGATAAGGGGTTAGGCTTACATTTAGTTTTAAACATTTAATGTTATAAGCAGCTCAATAGTCTAAGAACTACACTTTGCGTTATGGCAGCCGAGGACTGTTAGACCCATTGTGCCAATTATTTTATACAATAACCACATGTGCAGATACTTTTTTGCATTACTAAGTTAGTTGTATGTTTCATCACTACAATGTCTGTGCATTGTTACATAGAGAAACAAAAGCATATCTTCTACATATGACAACATATTTTAAGCAGTGGTGACATAAGTTTAACCTCTGCTGTGGTTTCTATATATGTCTGCCTAAAATATGAGCACAGTAAAATATAAAATACAAAATAAAAACTTTTTCTCCAACCCCGCTCACCTCTCTTGGTTTCGGGCCCGTGGCAACTTCATCTTGGTGTTGAGTAGCAGAGACAGGTCAATGAAAGCAGATTCATAGAGTCGACGAACAAAGAGCTGAGAGGTTCTCTCTATACGCTGGACCTAAGACATGGTGAACCATAGAGACATTTAGGTGTGCATCCTTTTGTGGCCTCTGAGTTAATAAAATTACCAGTCAACCTCAAATTGAATTAAATGTGCCACGAAAGATGTTGTGATTCTTCTCTGGCAGTAGGCTGTAGGATGCTTGAAACTGACTCAAAACATGAGTGTGTGTGTGTGTGTGTGTGTGTGTTTATATTGATACCTGGGTCTTCCATACGTAGTAGGTACATGTGACGAATCCTGACCACATACACACTCCCTCCAGTGCCAGCATTGAAAAAGGCCATTGCAAGTAGTAGCTGTCAATCAAATAATCCATAAAAAATTTCGGCAAAATATACATAGATGTACACTGATTTCTTAATATATTGTTATAGGACATTGCATAATATGTAGTTTTTGGACATTTTATTCTCATTATGCAAATTTGCAAACCAACAAGGCTGCATTAATTATATGGATCTCACAGCTTATATATACACAAGCATACACATTTTAAACCAGGTACAAGGAAATGCCCAATAGCTGAAATACAATCACTTAAATATTTTACTCTACTCTCACTTACACATACAAACGTACACACAGACATGTACCTGTTGAGTGAAGTTCGACAAATGCTCCTTGTGATTTCCAGTAAAACCACTGGGGTTGTGTTCTTTTGGCTCAAGTAGACTAAGCTTTCACAAAACTCTGCAATGGAAACAATTTTAGGATTTTGGTGTTCAAACAAAACTACATCAAAATGACATCGCAAAGCAGAAACCATTTGGTTAATGTTAAAAAAATAAACTCACCTGTGATGGTCCCGTGCTCGGCTCCATTCAATTCTTGTGCCTGGGTTATGAAAAGTATCAGTCCCAACAGTAGCACTGTGGGTCCTGTGCAACATACTGGCAGTGCAAAACTCATCCTGACTGCGTGGATCTTACACGCCACCACACCAAACCAGTGGCAGGCTGCTGAGCAGAAGGCCTGAGACAGGAAGTAGGGGGAATATTTATTAAGGCTACTGCTAATTACTTTCAGTGGCACAACATTTACACTTTAACATTTGGTCTGTTAGATACTTGTAAATGAACAGCAGTAAGATCTGATTCTGATCGGTGAACCTGCTGGAATTATTAAGAATCAATGTGGGAGATTTTTAGTAGCCTTTAAATTCCTTTGATCAGAACAGGAATAAAATCTAACAAGCCTACTTAATAAGTATTTCATTAATTGATTCAATGAAGGCTCAACCTGCTGTGAATATTAAGTAGTAAAGGAAACATATATATTAAATCACAAGGCCCTTAAGAAAAAAGAAACAGGTAAAAACACATTAAAAATAAATGTCTATTGTTCTGAAGTTCTCCCTCAGTGTGCCAGAGATTTTACACCTGCTTTTATCAGACATCAAACATCAGATGCAATTTTGTGTGCCACAGTGGTCCATCAGCAGTGATAAAGCAGGTGCTGCGACTGTTGTATAAATTTCCATTGCTCTTTCAATTACTTTGCATGACTAAATGTTTACATTATTTTACTAGTGCAAAACCTAAATAAGGGCTGCAAATATATCTCCTGAAGGGGAGCAGAGGAAGAAAGGCATGAATGATATGTATACGTAGTCCATACATAACTATAACTGCCTTTCTGTCTTTCTTTTACCTACCTGTAAGAAAAACAGCACCAGTCCTACTTGCAGTAATTCCCAGTCATCATCCTGCAGGTTGAAGTCTGACCAGGTGATAGATTTCTCAATAAGCACATGGTAGATCAGGTATACCCCTCCTACAACAGAATACAGTGTATCACTGATGGGAATGTAATAAGGTAAAATGCAAAAAAGTACAACATGAAACCCCCCCATAAAATAATATTAAAAAAAGATGTGTCAGAATAGTGTGCTGATTTAAAATAGTAAGAAACACAGTGAGTTTCAAGAAAATATATGGAAATTAGGCTGTATAGAGTGGAATAAATTGATAGTGTTGTGTAGTGCAGAATAAAAAGCAGCGTTGTTTTGAAAACAACAACGGAAGACTTCATCACAGCTGGAGAACATCCTCCGCAATCCATCTGTACCTTTGACATTGCAGAAAGCTGTTTGTTCTCTAGTGTGAATGTTGAAAATTAGATTTTTACAATCTAAGCATAGCAAAACACAGCAGTGTCGGCTGTTGATAATACATTTCAAGAGCATGTGTAATTTTGTCAGCATGTTTTTCTGAGTGTTGTTGATACAGACATTGATGGCAGATACTTACCTATCACTATTATCCTGAGAATACTGCTGATGACAAACACAAAGTCCCTGAAACCGTCCAATTCTGACAGTGTTTCCTGCAGGGAGAAAGAGAGTCACACTGATAATGCCATGTCAATATATTTGTTACACTACAAATAGGTGAAAAATTCAATATCCAGCTGAAGCTCTAGCAAAAGACATGAAAAATCACCCGCACAGCCAGCCACGTGGGCAGTATAATCCAAAAGTTGCAACAATTAAAATATATTTTTATATTTTAAGACATCATTAACTTCTAGTCTGGGGTAGTCTGGTAGATTCCAGTTTGGTGGGTGAAAAAAAGGCGTTCTAGTTAGTTATTGCAGTGAAGAAAGAACAACATTATAGAAAAACATTTTACCTTCAGACGGTTGGTAGCTTGCAGTGGATTTTCCCACCAGCAGAGAGAGACGAGGAGCGAAGAGAAAATTCCAATTGCAACAAAGATAAAGCAGTCGCTGCTCTGTCTATCCACAAATGACGTTACACGAACGTAGTAGTCGACCCCCAGGAGGCAGTAACCTGAGAGTTTGGCAGATAGTTAGTTTAGTAGTTAAGCAGTTGTTGAGTTAGTTAGTAGCTCTGTGTCTGCTCACTTGATGAAGATTCGGGAAAGATTGTGGTCTCGGTTAATGTAGAAAAGAGTTGTGTGAAACTGCCAAAACCCTAATCTTTTGCTAGTGTGTATAAGATTTATTTTCATTTTGTGGTGTAGTTGCAGTTTACAGCACCCTCACCCCAACTTCCCCTTCCAAGCGTGTAGGAGAAACTATGATGGCAATGAATGTACAAATAATGTGAAAGGCCCTATGTAGTCTGTCCTATCCTATCCATTCCTATTGTTCTGTTCTGGGATACTGTATAAGTATGGCAGTTCAAAATGACGGCGTCCATGGAAGAAGATCCATGGTGTGTGTAGATGAAAACGGCTCATTCTGAGGAAACAAGATTCTTATTTTCAGGTGATTATATGCTCATGAAAACATACCTATACTATATTCAATTTCTGGCCATAGATCCTCCATAGTGCTAAACACTGGACCTTTTTTGCCTTAATCTAACCACAGGAGTAAACTTTTGGTTACCAGGGTAACCCCCTCACTATGGGGAGTGCCTCCTGGTGTGACCAGTCGTGGAAGCTCCAATACCGCCACTTGTGTCATGAGACGGACCAATCATCTTCAGTTGCACAAGCATGCCCGTCCCCCTTTATAAACGCCCCTGGTGCCCTACATGGCATTCTCAAGCATACTTCATCTATGCACCCTATCCATGCACGCAGGGCAGTAATGTGAGATACCTCACTCGGTTTTCAGAGAACTTTTGGTTACCCTGGTAACCAAAAGTTCTCTTTCAAACATTGCTCAGTATTTCACTATGGGAGATGTGGCCCACTCCCAAATTGCATGCTTCAAAGCCCATAACACTACTACAAGCCCTCCCCATGGGCTAGCACTCAGTTAACATGAAACCCACACTCAGGATTGAGCACACCAGCGAAGGCGCTGTCACATCTAGGTGGTAAAACTAAATTAATATGTGTAGAGATGCCCAACTAACAGCAGCACAAATGTCACCCACAGAAATGCCCCTGAGTATGCCCCATGAGGTGGCCATTCCTCTGGTGGAATGAGCCCGCAGGCTCTCAGAGGGCTGCAGTCCACGACTCTCATAAACCAGGATTACAGCCTCCACTACCCAGTGTGACAGGTGCTGACAATTCAGAACTTTTCCTCAGTGAGAAGGGGCCCAAGATACCAAAAGCTGGTTACTCTTCCTAAATCCCTTAGTCCTATCTAAATAGATGTGCAGGGCTCTTACAGGACAATGAATTAAACTACCTCTCACTCCCTCTGTAAAAGGTTTGGGTGAAAGGCAAGCAGTTCCAGCATGGGGAAGCTATAAGCAGGCTCGCTAACCTTGGGCACAAAAGCAGAGTTAGGGCTCAGCATCACACAGGGGAAAATTGCAAACAAGATGTGTGCACAGACAAATTCACTTATCCGTTTGGCTGATGTAAGTGCCAGCCACAGGATAGTTTTGAGAGAGAGCAGTTTTAAGTCAGCAGACTCCAAGGGCTCAAAAGGCCTCCCTGAGAGTGCCTCCAACAAAGTTGGTAAGTCCCATGAAGGTACTAAAGGCCGCAGCCAGCCAGCTCCCTTCATAAACCTCCTTATCAGACAATGCTGCGCAATCGGTGCATTCCCAAAACCCACATGGCAGGGTGAGATTGCAACCAAATAAACTTTAATGGTGGAAACGCATCTCCTCCCAAATAGCCAGACTTGGGGAGCCCTTATCAAAAAGGTGACCCATGTCCTTCAACAGCTCAGCTTAGTAAGCACATGCTTAACACCTGGCAATGCAGGGTGGATGGGACGCGACTCAACATCCTTAACCTTGCCGCCACCAGCAGTCCTCTCAGAGGATGCGGTGGTTGCTATAGCTGTGGTAAAAAATACTGACAAAGCTCACCTGAAGCTTCCATGATTGGTCACGCCAGGAGGTGCTTTCTATAGTGAGATACCAAGCGGGGTTTGAAAGAGAACCCTGTTATCTGCTGTCAAAGTTCGGCATTATGACCACCTCCCTGCAACTGTTGTGCCGTACGTAAATGTAGAGAGGAGACAGGGTTGCAGTCATACACACACTATTGTAACTTGTTACTTAGGTATTCATCCATGGAGCTGGCATTTTTATAATAATAACATACTTCTCACCTTATAGACTACATTCACATTGCAGCTAAGAGTTTGTCGGTATTCAATCATGTTTTCTAAACAATGTAAGCTGTTAAGGTGTTTTTCTCCACCTGGAGTTTACAACCTACCTACAACTTGTGTTTGGATACTCAAATCAGAGCTTGTTAACACTGTCATGCCGGTTAGTAAATCTTACATCATTCGTCTGAGACAGTTGTCATAATTAGGTTGGCAGATTTACTGAACCAGACATTGCATGGAAAAAAACACAACTCAACAACGGAAAGAAAGTGATGGAGCTGACTTGACAGATAATTAGAGAGACAACTCAGTTTAGTTAAAACCTGGAGACACAAACTGAAATGTGTTCAGAACAAGTGGGAGAGTCAGAACAAAACAGTCAGTGAGACATCTATTATTTTTGTACATGTTCTGTAGGAAGAAGAGGATAACAAATTGTCGTCTTCCTCTTTATGCTTCACCCTCGCCCTTGTTCTAATTTGGAATGGCATGGCTGCATGGATATTAAACAAATAACCATGTATGAGCTGGTAGACTTGAAAAGTAATTTTTTCAATGTTTTTTGTGACTCAGTGTTTTGTTAAGTCCATGAAGGAAAGAACTGTGACACTCAACAGCACTCTGTGAAGGTAGAATTGATCGTGGGGATCTACTTTTTGAATCTATTCTTCTTCAGAGTAATACTAAAGTCATAATTTCAAAAGAGACAGACAGTGTTGAAGAGAGTAAATATAAAAAAATTTACCGGCAACTGTGAGAATGAGGGAGCAGATTGGGAAAATGATTTTCCATTTTTCTCTCTGTAGTCTGTATGCTATCTGCAGAACGGCAGACACAATACAGACTCCTCCGCTGATGAACAGATTAGTCAACACATCAAACTGAGGCATAACGACGAGGACCAGGATTGAAGTACCAAGAGATACCAAACACTCAATGACACAAATCTGGAAAAGACAGAAAGACACGCACACACACCATTGTAACATTGTAAATAAGGATTTATTATATAAATTTTTTTACACCATATTCATTGCAATTACGTCCAAAGCAGGCTGCATAATAACTAAATGAATTGGCTTTAGAAATACTTACCACTGACATGGTCTTCATGTTGGGCTGTACAAAGCTCTTGAAGGCACACCTCCACAGTGATTTAAGAAACACCAGGAAGTTGGGGCACACCAGGCAGAAAACCAACATCAGCATGTAGAACTGTTTTTCCTTTGAACTGCGCATTGAGGCTGGACTGGACATTGTTGACAACACCAAGAGACAGCCCTGATTGGACAGAGATCCATGTTGTATGTTAAAGAATACCAGAAAGTTTAGACAGATGACCAAAAGATAGCAATTTTCTACGTTATATACATATATACAATTAATATTTTTCTCCCTAAAAGAGTGCATTTGACTTCGTCACTGTCATTTCTTTTGAGTGCAGTTCCAGTAAAGTCATGTGTGTAGCAGTACTGTAAATGACAACAGATTTACCGGCAACCCCTCCCTGCTTCCAGCTCCTAGTGACAATGTGAACACGTGCACATACTGCAGAGTTAACAATTGATAGAGAGAAAATGAAAATATATCTGCAAACAGAGAGTTGGGTGCAAAGGGTTTAAGTATTCTACGCCCTGCCCTACTGTAAAAAGAGCTAATGGTTTTTTATGCTACTTTGTGGACAGAGAGACATCTAAGACACATGTTTTTTTAAAACTAAAGTTCTGACGAAAAAAACTACAATCACTGTACAAAAAGACTGATCTAAAACATTTTCATATAAATGATGTGTTTTTGCTGTTTATGACTGATTTATATAACATCATGTATGCAGTTTACTGGTTGGTTAAATATTTCCCAGTAACTGTTAAAGGAAATGTTAATCCTGGGAGCAACCTCTGCTGCCAGTAAGAATAAGATCATGTTTTACTACTATACTATTATACTCCTTTGATATACTTTGTACTATATTTTCTTCTCAAAAGCAAAAACTCCAACCTCATCAAAGAAAACCCAAGGAAATAAGACCCAGAATCAACAATACAGTTTGATGTATTAATGTATTTGAAGTGCTCAAATCAAAGCACTTTAATGCAAAATTGCAATACATGCAAAATAAATAAATAAAAAATCATTAAAATCAAATTACAGAGAGAGACTTTAAAATTCAAAGAGATATTTAAATAATCTCTTTTTATTGGCTAGACCAGAAAAGAAAAAGACTGCATTAATTGAACTTAATTGTGATAAAGGCATACATATAAGTTTTGCATGCTTGTGAGAGAAAAGTCTCTTCATACTTTGACTTTTATAAATAATGATTAAAGGCAATTTTGGTAGTGTTCATAATGTGAACATCAAAAAGCTAATCTGAATCAAACAGGGTGGGAAATTTGCACCAGCCAAATGCTGATAAAATGTGATAGAAGACACCAGCGTCTTAAACAAAATAATTATTTATTGTTGAGTGGCTGGTGAATTTGAACATTTATCTGTCGGTGGCCAAGACTTTTTGCTTAGCCGTTTAATGGAACCCTGTGGTGATACCTCTTGCCGTAGCACCAATGACTTAATAGATAGATAGATAGATAGATAGATAGATAGATAGATAGATAGATAGATAGATAGATAGATAGATAGATAGATAGATAGATAGATAGATAGATAGATAGATAGATAGATAGATAGATAGGTAGTTTGTCCAACCTTAGAGATAACAGCACTGGTCAAGACAGCTAACCCCACAATAGCAGCCACCAGGTACTGGGCCAGTTGGAAACATGTTCTCTTGCTTTCCTTCTCAGCTCCTATTGGGTTCAGCTGGAATGGATCCCATGTATCGCTGAGACACACACATGAGAACACATACACTGAGTGATATCATTACGGTTATGCAGAGGAGTGACAAAGAAAAAAATAAAAAATAAAATCCTGAATGAAGGAGTGCAGATGCTTTCATCACGTGTTTAAGGCCAGAGTCAATCCCAACTAACTTGATGGCAGATCCAAGATGGCGGAAGTGACTACTAGATGTGACAATGTATAAATGTTTGATGTACGAGAAATGTCATAAACCGGAGTACGTGTTAAGGAAGCTAGAGCGACCAAATAAATATGTTTATTATAGTATGATAAAGAGTGATTCGCTAATGCACGTCATGATCAGGGTGTGGATTCTGGTTATGTCTTCAGAAGGTTCAATAGATGATCAAGATTCCCTCATCATAGTCTATCAATAAAAACACAGTGCAAAGACATTTCCTCAGAGAGATCAGGGTACAGAATTCTTTTTTTTGTCTTTCTACTTTACTGTAACTAGTCAGTTTAAATTGCTGTAAGATGAAAGATATTAGCATGAAGGTTAGGGTGAATAAAATATCTATATTCTGACCCAAGAAACTACAGTTACACAGCAGGAATTTAAGCTGATTGAGCCCCCAGAGTACCTCTAATTATACTCATGTTTGGCACTATAAAGAAGCTAATGACATAAGTGTGTCAGTCTCTCTGTCATCTCCCACTGTTGGATGATTAATGTCAAGTACAGAATAATTATCAGGGTGTGGGTTGTCTACTTTGAATTGATAACACTTTGTGATCTTTGACTTTGCCATAGCAACTATCAAAAATAGAAACAAGTCCAGGTGAATCTGCTGTGCGATATGTCCACAGCCACACTGGCAGAAAGTGTGTTTGGAAGATGAGGGTGTATGTGTGTGCATGGTGACACGCTATTTTCTTTAATGATGCATATAAATCGCCATTACATAAATAGCTTTTAAAAGCTGCTGAACTTAGAAGAGCAAAGACACTTTTAACTTTCCACTGTCAAATTAATTAAATTAAATTAACTCCTGTGGGAAAAAGGATCTCTCGTTTTAATAATCAATAACAGTTATATTGTGTAACCACATAATTCTGTAATTACATATAAATACAAAGACACCAGTATACAGTATTCACAGGTAGTCACAGAGAACTGAGACTGCAACACAGAAAGCATGTTACTTACTTAGCGAGAACAAAGCAGTGAATCAGAGAAATAAAACATTATTTTCTGATAGTTTCACAGCGGTTAGGTTTCTAAAACATTAACACCTCCCCAAAACACTGCCAGAATGTGCCATATTGCCGGATTTTGCCCCAACTTCAAAGATGGTCCCTAACGGCCGCGGCTTGGCGCAACTCGGCATGTTTAAATTGGTTATGGAATTGGTTTGACTCAGTGCTGCAAAAGTGTCAATAGAATTGCCGTACTAGAAGGCACTTCATCGTGTTTTCTTCACTGGAAAAGCAGTTTAGAGGGCAATGTTAATGAGGTCATCCCAGAGGGCACTTTTGCTGTGTTTTTTTCAAACATGGGGGTTTCAGGGTTTGGCAACCAGAAAGGAGCATAAACCTTATGACTGAGCAAATCCACAACAACCCCACACATCCGCCACAAGGTCAGATGTTGTGTGTTCTTGGTCCCGAACAAACATGGACAGCGACCTACCTCATGTTCATTTACCAACATGTCACACACTATATGATTTTATCAACACCAGCTGACTCAGACTGGAACAGACCAGGTCGAACTTTGTCTCATTAGTCAGTCACACCCAGATCATATTTATAATCGGCTCAACAGTCCTAATGTGTGCCCTCGCTTTGGTCGTGTATTGGACTACATGTTACTTTTACAGGAAAACTATATATTATTTTTCATTTCAGTTATGATGATAAACAGTAACACCAATTTGAGTGTACGTCGGCCATACTGTATGTTTAATGTTTAGTGTTTATACAGCATGTTAATCTACACATCTCTGAACATATATGATTGGTTCAACTTGCCTAGATTTTAATTGTTGACCCTCTCGTGATCTTATAACATGCTTACATGTATATCACTCATCACAGTTGCATAATATAACTGTCAGACAAAAACCATGAATGATACATATTAAGTAATTTGCTAGTAGACTTGAAACATTATTTTCAAGTCTACTTTCAAGTCTTTTTAAAATTATAATTTGTTTTTGAAAATTTAAGTTGTTTACCTATAAAACATCCTCCTAATCATATACAGTAGAAGATACATAAGTGAAGTGTATGAAAAAAAAAATCTTAACACAGAAACAACCTGATTCTTTTGACCTCAGAGATACTAGTATCCAGAATGTGATTAAAACTGTAGTACGTATTTAACATTTTAATTGGAGCAGCACTCCCGTAACAGCAGTCAGTATCTGCAGGGATGATATTAGCCGCAGCAATAAAGAGAAGCACAGCAGTGCACAAGGGAAATTAACTGTTTCCTCAAACTGTAAATTACACCAAATAGAAACACGGTAATACAATACTTTATGATATATTAATGATAATATCCATTACCAATATCTATCTCACTAACAATTAATGTCCTAACAATGATGAAGAGGTCAATAAACTTTGATTGTGTGCCTGTGGACAGGAAGTGGAATTTCTGCCTTGTTTAAACCTGCATTGTGTGGTGAATGTATGAATTTTTAAATCTGTCTCACTAATACAGCCAATCAGACACAACATTAAAACTTGATGGCATGATAAAATTAGCCTCTGTAGCTTTGTTGGTTAAAGGATAACCTGCGCTGTCCTTATAATCAGTCACTTCCAGTAAGTTGTTGTGGTTGAGCACAAATTGAAACCAAATTGTAAATTGCAACTTTGACCTGTTCTCTACAGCTTCTGTACACACATGATGGCAGTACAGAAAAAACTATTTCCTTATTTCCTTATTGGTCCATCTGGATAATTAATCTGAATACTTTATGAGTACATTATGAACAGATAATGTGCCTTGAACAAATACCAACAGCATCCGACTTTGTCTGAATCTGTGTAGTAATATCTGTAATAATATAGTTTTCACTTAGAGATAATCATTAAGCAAGTTTAATCCTCAAAAACTGTTCCTCAGTTTTCACTTCATTATTAGGGCTGCAGGATTTAGTGGCATCTAGCAGTATAGTTTCAGATTACAACTCCCTCACTTCACCCTCCTCCTCCTCCAAGCAGTGAAGAAAACTATGTGTTTGTCCGTTCTGGGCTACTGTAGAGACATGGCGGTTCAACATGGCGAACTCCATGGAAGGCGAACTCCATGGAAGGCGACCTTCAGCGTTTGTAGACATAAAAGGCTCATTCTAAAGTAACAAATACATAACGAGTCCTATATTCAGGTAATTATAAACTAATGAAAACACAACTATGAATATTATATTTTCCATTTCTGCCAATAGATTCTACTAAATGTTTATGATCATTATCATTATTATTCAAAGTTTTAATAATTGATTAATCTTTTTTGTCATTAATCAAGCATGAATACAAAACTATCGGTCCAACTTCATAAATGTGGGGATTTGTAGCTTTGGTCTTCAGTGAAAGTTAATCTGAAATATATTTGGTTTGCTATTTTCTGACATTTTTATACCAATTTAATCAAGGAAATAATCTGCAGATTATCAAAATGAAAACAATCATTAGTTGCAGCCCTATTCATTTTGAAGCTTGTATTTACTCACTGTAATAACAACCTCATTATTTCTATTACGATTCATTTACCTGGACCATGAACAGTTATACAGCTTTTGTTTAGACTCAGTTAAGACTTATTTATTCATTTTCTTTTAAGGTGGGGTTCAAATACAAATAATGTTTTATGTGATTGTTGGTTTGTATATGTTGTTGGCAACTTACTGAACTTACTTATGAGGGGTATAAGTGGCGATAGAAAACAATCTAACAATCCATAAAATGTCTAACTATTTACTTTCTTACTTACTTCCAGTATTAATCTGAATGCAATTAGCAACACAGATATTATTGTGCCATACACATATGCAGATACAGACCTACCCCTAATTTAAAAATTTCAATGTTTTTATGAATATTTTTAACAGGTTATTTCTATAGAAAGTTATCATACCTCCACAGCACAGAACCAATTTTGTTCAACAAGTCTACCAAACAGCCTCACAAAGACAGCATATTTCACAAAAATAAGAGCCTCCAGAAAAGAAGATGGATTTCCGCTACCTAAAAAGAAAGCGTCGGCTAGACAAAATATTCCCCCTATTGTATATATTTGATCAGCCGACTAATTAAAATCAAACTTTGGCAACCGCAGCTCAGCAGACTGCCATCCACATAAATGTGATATGTATTTAAATTAATCTCATGTCATTATCCTCTGTCTCTCATCTGTAATATCAGTCAAAACCTTAAAATAGCAGAAATGAAATGTGATGACCTTCAGAAGGCAAGACGTGCTGTAGATTGGTTTTTACCTCTGTCTCTCCTGTATTTTCTTTGCTCTGCTTTTCAGTTCCTCCATCTTACTGGTCTACTCCACTCCTTATGGCGGCCTGTGTCGTATCTGTGTGTCAGAGAGGAAACATTTGGTCATTTTTCTGGCAGATTGCCTGCAGTATAATATGTATTTTTAAAGTGAAACATGAACACAAGAAAGAATAGAAATCTCTTTAACTTATGGTTAGCATTCACCTTATTAGGTTAAATTAAGGTAATTAAAGCTTACCTTGATAGCTTTAATTCCTCCGTTGATTCAGCAATCCACCCCAGGCTACTTTGTTTCCCTTCACTCACTCTTCCTTCACTTCACCTCAAACTCACAAAACTCACTCGCTTCCAAACTCAAATATCAGCCAACTTCTATTCACGGGAAAGAGGTTTCAGTCTCTCAAAGTAGAATTAAATTATGTGAAATCCCCAAATTGTAATAGCAATGTATTTTTAAATTACTTCCATTTTGAAAAGTTTTTAATGGAAGTTGACTGGAAACCAACTGTGTCTCCGTCAGTCTCACAGTCAGTTTGTCCTTTGTTCATCTGTTCATTTGTGTTATCACTCGTTTATGAAAGAGACACCCATATAGATGGTCAGGTTCAGCCCCCTCAAGTGTGTGTCAGATATTGAACGATAACCATGAGCATAAGATACTGTAACCGCCCAACATAACTCAGAGAAAGTTCTGTGATTTATATGTGTGTGTGTGTGTGTGTGTGTGTGTGTGTGTGCGCGCGTGTGTGTGTGCGTGTGTGCGTGTGTGCGTGTGTGTGTGTAGTTTATCAGTGACCAAAAAAATTTCGTTATCTATCCAGTTTTTATGGGGGACATAAAAAGGTACAAGGATCATTTACACTTGGACACATACACAAACCTCAACTCCAGCCTGTTTCTATTACTTCACGCAACTGCTTTTACCTCTGTGCACACACGCACACAAACTCTTTCTCTCTCTCCTTCTCTCTCTTTTTCTCTCCCTCACCCCCTCTCTCTCTTTTTAATTAACTAAGGCCAACTCTAAAGATAACCTTGGGCAGTGAAGTGCTGAACGGCCACTGGTGTTGTTTTGGGGGGTCTCACATAAACGTTGCCTCATCTTCACTGTGCGAGTACATCAGGAGGTTTAAGGATGGAGTGTGTTGTTTGCGGTACAGCTTATAAAGCCTCTTGAGGCAACTGTGTGATTTTTTTGGGTGATATTGGGCTATATAAATAAATCCCTATACATTATGCCAAAATGTCCAGTATAGTCTTTGTACCATATATTTGTACCATATATTTTGGCTCGAGCTTTGTATACTTAATGTTGTATACTTAATGTGTTAATATGAAATTGTTTTTGTAAGGGTTGATGACCCAACAGAAGCATGAAACACCAGGTTTTATCTCTTCCTTATCTCACTTGCTGGTTGTAAAGCTTATGTAGCATCTAAAGCTCAACCAGCACCATGGAAACCAAGACTGTGTGGTTATATTATAACCTGACCTAAGTCCAGTTTTATGGCTTCACACTTAATGTAAAAATGCTTGTTTTCCTTGTCACCTTTTGTAAACATTGTCAGTTTTTATAATTTCCTGTAAATCATTCTAACATGTAATACATCATTTTGGCAGTGTGTCAAATCAATTGTTACCACAGAAAAACAGCACAAACCTTTAATCGGTCTGTGTCAAGTGCCGACCTGTTCGTTTCCCAGAACAGATTTAGTGTGTGACTGTTACCACTGGGTGTCAGTACAGGGCTTTGATTTTAGGCTATGCCAATGCTTCACTGATTTTTCACAGTTTTCAGTAGTGTCTGGTGTGTGTAAAAGGATTTTCAGTTTTTATCTGTGTACACACTTCACGTGTGTCTTAAGTGGTGTGTGTACACTTGCACAAATCTGCATGTGTGTGTGAAGCTATGAAGCCATGTGCCTGCATGTTAATGTATCTCTCTCTCTCTCTCTCTCTCTCTCTCTCTCTCTCTCTCTCTCTCTCTCTCTCTCTCTGTGTGTGTGTGTGTGTGTGTGTGTGTGTGTGTGTGTGTGTGTGTGTGTGTGTGCACGTTTGTGTCAGTGTCTATGTGTGGAGTGGGCTCAAAAGAATGTCTCTGTCAGGTTGTGGACTCTCATTAAGATGCTCTGCCAGTGCATAATAAGCTGGCCATATGGTCAACATGGCGTTGGTATCTCTCCCCACCTTCAGGTGGTTGAGTTTGAGAACAGTCCCACAATAATAACACACACAGCAACCAGATAGCAAGGCAGGAGAAACAGATTTTATGGGTTTAGTTTGGAAAAGCAAGATTATTCGCAAGCTAAAACATTTTAAACCATATCTCTCATTGTTCGCAAAATGAGGTGGGCATGGCTAACAGACCACAAGAAGAGTCAGACAAGAGTTTGGTGTCTGTCATTTCTCAGCCGCAGTGATCCCAGATCAACATTCCTGCTCCATGATCTGTGAAATGTTGTTCACATCACAATGGTAATGCCACCGAGGGCACTGTTACTGCTATTCACAGCTGATGCCTCTCAAATCTACAGAAAGGTCAGTAGCTAGGTACCCATCCCTGGCTCTCATTTAGAAACACTGAAATGTTCAATGCCAAGCTATAATTAGTAGCCATATGGGCTGTGTGTTGAGAATAACTGCCTGCTGTAGATACACATGGAGAGGCTGTGGTGACTCTCACTATTTATCGTCTGCTCAGAGCCTGTGAAATGGCAAGGGAGGAGTAGAGTCATGAATGAAATGTTGAAATAAAACTAAACCCACTAGACTGGCTGGGAATATCTGATTGGAAACAATGTTCATTCCCTTAAAGATATTATTGTTTTCATTGTAAATCAAGTGGCTTTGTGTAATGTGAAAGGCTTTCTGGTACTGCTTATGTCACTGCCCATTCTGCAGCTTTAAGTCCAGCTCATTATTTCTGGTTTGAATGATTGAGTCCCCCTTATATACAACTCACAGAGGCTCACACTAGCCGATTGTAAAATACTTGTCCAGAGTGAAATGGTGGATGTGTAACTTTCTTTCTTTTTTTTTTCCACCAGTGCCTCATTTACTGCAGCTCTCCGACAAGCCTGGGGGACCTAGATATTTTTCTCAGCAGTCAGTAGCCTAAACTAGACTAAAATACCACTTAATATAAGACTTGTAGTACATTTGAAAGGTAGCCAGACAGACCCCAGTTGAATGTCCATGTTGCTCTGTTTTTGTTTAATATGTAAATAATATCAGGCAATATTTTGGCACATTATTCATAAGAACTTGATAAATGGACATACTAGGGCTTGTTGCTGGGAGCTTGTTTTTAACTCTACTTTCCTCTCTCTAGCAGTCAAAAATTATAGCTTTGAAACTACCATTGATGTATATCGAGAAAAACATTTAGCTTCCAACTGTTTCAGCAGATGCATTCAGATGCCAAAGAAGATTGTAATGCCACTGAGCAGGATGAATATGAAAAAGAATATTGCTGATCAGTACATTAAAGAAAAATAAAGAAACAAACAGAAAGAGTTTTTGAAAATTGTGCACAGCAAGAGCTCCATACAGGCCGGAGGGCAGTGATCTGCTCTGATTGTGCCGAAAGAATATATTTAGGTCAGAATCAATTGAGGTAAGGCCCCCTCCAGTCCAACACACCCTCACACACACACACCCTCACTCACACACACACACACACACACACACACACACACACACACACACACACACACACACACACACACACACACACACACACACTGTTGATTCAGCCATTGGCCACACTGACTACTTAATAGGGAAGTCACATACAGCTATTTTTACAAACTGTGCCACTAATTGCAAGGTTAAACGTTGTGTCCCTCTACATCTGGTTTGAATAAAAATAAGTGAACAGTTTAAATCCAGTTTCTTCCAACCTTTTAGTTGATGTACATAAGTGTCACATTTGATGTCTGCCAAAACAATTGCAGAGGGACTATATATAGACGTATTATTATAGGACACAAATAGGTTTTTCTCAACAGAAACGTGTTTGTTGTTAGGGTAAATGTTCAAATTCAAACATCAAATTCATCAAAGTGTTCATTCTGCAGTGCATTCTGCAGATGTGGCCTTATGTTGTCTGGAACAAAACGAGGATCAGGACAGTCTGCTTTTTAAAGAACTGCCTTTGATCTGGCATGGCTTTACTTGACTTAACATGACACTTGTTGGTCAAAACGCATGCAAATCCCAAATATAGGAGATGAATTGGTTGACAGATTGACGGAACATAATGGGCACAATCCTAATAATAGAATAGCAATGAAAAGGTGCTGTGACATCTTTATTACAGAATGCTATTTTCTGCAATTTATTTGATATAGGTTGCAGGCAGGAGAGTTAAATTACATGCAATGAGATTAAAGCAAACGAGGAACGATTTTTATTCAAGGATCACCGTGACACTCTTCAACCTGGTCCACAAGAGTCTTGTAGGAGATATTTCTGGTATTCATTCAAAATGGCATTTTATCACAGAAGAGTTCATTTTTGAGGTTGTTGTTTGTGAAAGGCTATTCTAACGTTTGGTTGTCTCTAACTTCCGTGTGTGACTTCTTGCTGGACAAAGTATTTCATATACTTTTGGATACAATGCAAAACACCAGGAGAAAATGCAACCTCAAAATGACCTCAGCAATCAGTCAACATCTCTCTGAAACCGCGTCAACAAAAACCCAATATGATAAAGTCGATAAATGTAGAATGTATTGCAGGTCTGTAAAATTGGTAACAGTAGATTGGGTATTTCTATTTTTCTTCTGTTGTATATTTTGTGTTTTTAAATTGCCAGACAGCATGCTGAAATTAAATGTACACATGTTGTCTAGAACTTTCTGTTGGCCTCAAAAAGCCACCATTGTGACTCTGTAATTCACCTTGACCAAAGCCCAAAATACACATGATTGAATTTCTCCACTCAATGGTGCACTAGACAGCGTTTTTCCCCTTCTATGATATGATTTCACAGTCAGGAGAGAAAAGGGGTGTCTAATTCTCTGAGAGAACATAAATCAGGCGTTAATCACAAAATAGGCTCTTAACCAGAGCAGGAAGCTGACCCTTTTATTCCCCAGCTACAGTAGCTGATGGCTCACAAATACTAGACACTCTTATCATTCTACCAGTCAGACTGGATTTTAGAAAAGATTAACAACTGACTGTTTAGCAGAGTAGAGATAGACTTTTCACTGACTGTCTTAAATTGCTCTTGTACATGAATTTAAAGAATTTCACAATGATCTTTAGTATGCATTAATTCCATATGTAATGTGGGGAAACATTGGTTGACCCTACTGTGCTATTGAGAAATGTTAATTGGATTTATGGGATTGTTCCCATCCTGGTTGGCAATGCCATTGTGCTCTCACTTCACACTAAATTATACTGGCGACAAGGTCAGGTGGTACAGTGGGTCATTCATTTAAGTGCAGTTTGGTGGTTCAATCTCCAACTCCTGACTACATGACGGAGTGTCCTTGAGCAAGACACTTACACCCCAATCTGCTCCGAAGGAGCAGCTCAATGGCATTACCATTTTTTTTAAT